TTTCGCCGAATTGCCTTGCACTCACTTCGGGCTCGCAAGGTCGGAGCTGCGATAGGGCACATTGCTTGCCGTACGGTCGTCTGAGCCATTGCGGAAGAACGCCCGAGACAAGAGACAACAACCAGCCAATGCGCGGTAGGCACCGCGGGGCAAAATGTAGCCAGCGCTGATGCGATGCCTATCCCCCTCCGCAGCCTGAGTGCACCACCCAGGCCCCCGGAGGGCGTCATAGGCCTGCCGAGCACTGCGTGCGATGCTGCCCCGGTGGAGAACCTGCCTTGCCGCGCTGGCTCCCTGCAGCCAGACGGTGCTGGGCTTCCGTCAGAGATAGGATTTCCCTGACGCCACCGCGCGGCCGACGCAATTCACCTCTGCCACCGCCGCCGCCGGAGGACACAGAGCAGATCTAAATGATGAGATGGATGAGTGAGCGCCCATCTTTGGGGCGAGCGCGTCCGCCTGGACGCGGCGCGAAGGGGCTTACGCTCGTCCTCCGCTTCCGAATGCTGTCCGTCGTCGCGGAGCAGGCGAATCCGTCTCCAAACGGATTTTTCCATTTCTTACCTGGTGGGTGGCCTGGGCGACCCCATCCTATAGGTGACGGGGCGCGCCGTCTTGGCGGGCAACGCCGTCAAGGCGACGCGCTAAAGGGCGTGCGCGCACAGCTCGTCTGCACGCTGTTGGCACCGGATGGATGCAACGACGCCAGAATATCAGCTTCGCCTCTGGGGCCGAGGCCGCCAGGCAGCAGCTTGCGAAGGGGCTTCCGACCCCACGCTAATTTTCTCCCCGTTTAGCCTGCCGATTCTCCGGCTGGGAAAATCTTCCGAAATCCGATGGGGCGACTTCCCATGGGAAATCCGCCCAGCTTCAAGCTCAGCAGCCGAATTTTCAGCAGCCACACCAGAATTTAATTCTGAGTTCGCTGGTGAAAGGGCGTCAGCATGGATATGCCGATAACGCGTCGTTTGGGACGCGGGCCCCCCGGGGTCGGTCGAGGACAGGCGTGCTGCACACGTGCAAAGCACCCCCGCCTCGTTGTGTGCAGGCGGGGGGTTAGCCAATGCCCCCCCATCAAGGACTAGCTTCTGCCGCCTGCACACATCCGACCCCGAGTGCCCAAGAGTGTCCGTAGCCCCCCTGTCCAGGTCTGGCTCGCTCAGAATGGCATTCCGAGCGTGATCCAGCGCACTCTCGCGAGGCACGCCCAGATTTGCGACTTGAGCTCGATTTCTCGCCCTGGACGCCTGACTCGCTCAGAAAAGCACTCTGAGCCTGATACTGCGCACCTCGGGCGAAGTGCGCCCAGATTAGCAAACTGAACCCGACTTCGCGCCCTGGAAGCTGGGTGGAAGCCTGAGCCTGCGCACTACAGCCGAAGCCCACTCAGATCAGCGATCTGAGATCGATTCCCAGACTGGGGACTGAGCCAGATTCTGAGCTCAGAAACGCATGCTGAGCCTGATACTGCCCACTTTGGGCCGTGCACGCCCAGATTGGCGATCACAGCGATTCCGCGGCCACGGGGCCGGTCGCGCTCAGAATAGCACTCTGAGCCTGATACTGCGCGCACTGGGATACGAGCACGATTCCCCGGGAGCACTCAGTGCAGCCTACTGAGCCTGAGCCTGCGCACTTTAGGCGAGGTGCACCCAGATGAGCAAACTGGGCCAGAAGCAGTGCCCACGGGAGCCCGCGCGCACAGAATTGCACCCTGAGCCCCATACTGCGCACTTGGGCGCGCACACAGAGCACGATGCCGCACTCTCCGAGGCCCAGCACAGCGCACTGGCTGGGCGCGCCCAGATTTGCAATCTGAGCTAGAATACGCGCCATGGAGCGCAGTTGCCAGCCCAGACGGAGGTGTGCTAGCGCCTGCCTGCGCGCGGCGTTTTGCAGTGCCTGAAGCCCTGCGCGAAGCACACTCAATACCAGCGGTGAAAGCCAGGCCACAGCGAAGGCAGGAACGGCGAGGAGCACGGGCACTAAAGCGCAGTGGGGCTGTGCAGAATGCGGGCGCCCCTGGTGCCTGAGGCCCCCAGGGAGTGCGAACGCGTGGTGCCTGAGGCTCCCACGGCACGCACTGCGCTTGCCGCCGAGACCGCTCCTGGTGCCTGAGGCCCCCAGGGAGTGCGAACGCGCGGTGCCTGAGGCTCCCACGGCACGCACTGCGCTTGCCGCCGAGACCGCCCCTGGTGCCTGAGGCCCACCCCGCGGTGCCAGCAGACACCCACGGGCAGGACGAGGACGTCCCAGGGAGACGACGGACAGACAGACCGACAGACAGACGACAGACACACAGACACACAGACGGGACGGACGGACAGACAGACCCACACCCGCCGTCCACAGGACACGGCGCGTTAGCAGACCCACCAGGGCGGGTGAAGTCCGCCACCCCCAGTTGGAGGTATCCAAGTTTCGTGCGTTCTGCTGGGAGCTCGAGGCCATAAGGCTAGGAGGAGTGTGGCACCGCTAGCTCCTGAAATTTTCCTGCCCTCCAAACCGCTGCGCGATTTGAGGGCTAAGAAAATCTCCTCAGGCTGTCCACCGCAGGAACAGTGGGCGAAGGCAAAAGCCTGCTGCTGGGCCGGGCGCCTGGGAACACCCTAGCGCCCATTGCACCCAGAGACCAGCCCAGCAGCTGCTGAGGAAGCTTTGTCGGAATCCGTCGCGCCCATTGCAAGGACAGAGCTGGTTCACGCAGCTGCCACAAGGGTCCGCGCCAGCGGGCGCCGAACCTCGCTTCAGCGCGAACGTGCCTGCCGCCTGCACGCCTGCTGCGCGCCTCTCTGCTCTGCGTTCCTACGCGCGCGTCTGCAGCGCGTTCGAATCTCTGCGCGCATTTGGTTGCGCCCGCGACACTGCGAGCCCCTGTGCGACACCGCGCGTCTCAGCGCGCCCGTGCGCCTTAGCGCGCCTCCGCACACCTAGATTGCACTTCCGGGCGCGCCGGGCGCCCGTTGCGGCCATGAGCCGTGGAATTGCTTTGAGATTACCCGTCTGGGCGCGGGAGCGGGAAGCCTGCCCCGGGCGCCCGTGTGCGTCTGCGCCTTGTGGGCGCCTGTGCGCCTGCGCCCTACTGAGCGTTTCTACGCGCCTTCGCGCACGTTTCGCGCTGCTGCGCGCTTCCGTCTGCCCCGCTCCGCGGGCCCGCGCGCTTCGGCGCGCAGCTTGCTTCTGCGCCGCGCGACAACGCACGGCGCGCGCCGCGGCGTGCCTCTACGCGCCTGTGCGCTCTCTGCGCTTAACTGCGGAATACGCGCCTCCGCCGCACCAGTGCGCACTTCTGCGTGCCAATACACCTGGGCGGCCATGCGCACTCCTGCGTGCCCAGCGCACCCCTCTCGATGCTGCGCTCTGCGCCCTTCTGACCGCTTCTTTGTCCCTTTGCTTCTGCGCGCGTCTCTGCGCCTGCGCGCCAGTGCGGCTGCACGCGCCTGAACGACCGTGCGCGTTTCAGTGCGGCGCTGCGCGCCTCCAAGCATTTCGCGCGTCTGCGCTCGGCGCGTCCGGCACTGCGCGCTTCCAAGCACTTGCCTGCGCCACGTACTTGCGCGCGCGCGCCTTCGCGCGCCGAAACGCCGCGCCTGTGCGCGTCTACGCGCTCTTGTGCGGAGGTTCGCCTGCGCCAGCGCTACATAGCGCGAAATTGCGACCATATTTCAATTCTGAGCGCGGCAGCGCCCAGTCGCTGGAGGAAATCGCTTAGATTGCCCTGCAGGAGCGAAACCCACACAACCCCACGCATCTTCGCCCATGTGCTGTCGCGCGTTTGGGCGCGCAAGCGTGCAGTTGCACTCAGATTGCCGCTCTGAGCGCGGGAGCGCGACATAGCACTCAAAGGGCCCGTTCGGGCACGCGAACGTGGAATCACGCTCGGGCTGCCCGTCTGGGCGCGCGAGCGCGCATTTGCGCCCAGATCGCCCTTCCGGGCGCAAGACGCGAAATCGCTTCCGAAAGCTGCGCTCGGGTTGCAATTGCGCTCAGATTGCCCATCTAACCGCGCGAACGCGAAATCGCGCCCAAAATGGGCCAATTGGCCGCGTGAGCGCGGGAAGGCGTCCGGAATTGCCCATTTGAGCGCGCGGCGCGGATTCGCACTCTGATTGCCCGTCTGGGCGCGCGAGCACAACATTGCACCCAGATTGCCCGCCTGGGCGCGGGATCGCGAAATCTCACCTGGAATGGCCCGTTTGGGCGCGCGAGCGCGGATTCGTGCTCAGGATGCCCGCCTGGGGCACGAGCGCTAATTTGTGCCCAGATTGCCCCTCTGGGCGCGAGGACGCGAAATCGCATCCCGAACGGCCGCGCGGGACGCACGAGCACAGATTCGCACTCTGATTGCGTGGGCGCGCGTGCGCAGAACTACGCTCAGATTGCCCGTCTGGGCGCGGGACGCGAAATCGCATCCGAAATGGCCCGCTTGGGCGCGCGAGCGCGGATTCGCACTCTGATTGCCCGTCTGGGCGCGCGGGCGCAATATTGCGCACAGATTGCCCGCATGGGCGCGGGCGCGCGAAATCGCACCTGAAATGGCCCGCTTGGGCGCGCGAGCGCGGATTCGCGCTCAGGATGCCCGCCTGGGCGCACGAGCGCAAAATTTCATCGCCCCCAAATCGCGTAGCGATTTGGGGGGCAGGAAAATCTCCAGGGAGGTTGCTCGTGGCCTCTCCGCCTCTTGGCCTCTCGGCCTCACTGCCTGGCAGTGCCCTTGTGGCACGGCGGATTGGGGGGGTCCCCTCTGTGCTAATAAGCTGGGGCCGCGCGCGGCTGGCGGACCGCGGCGTGGGGATGCCATGTCGTCTCCTCTCCTCGCTTCTCCGGCTGGCTGGTTGGCGGTTGTGCGCGCGCGGGGGCGAAGGTTGTCGCGCTTCGCGGCGCGGCCTCGGGGGGCCGTGCCTTGGTGGTGCGTGGTTGCGCAACGATAAATGCGCTTCGCTGCTCGTCGTTGGCGGGCTTCCGTGGTGTCTGGCCCGCAGGACGGGCGTGGTCGAGAAATGCTTTCTCTGGCCCGCAGGACGGGCGTGTCTCTGGCCCGCAGGACGGGCGTGTCTCTGGCCCGCAGGACGGGCTTTCTCTGGCCCCGCAGGGGTGCACCCGCAGGTCGGGCACCAGTCTCTGCCAGACCCGCAGGTCCAAGGGGGTGCACCCGCAGGTCGGGAACGTGTCTCTGTCACACCCGCAGGTCGGGGGGTGCACCCGCAGGTCGGGCACCAATCTCTGTCACACCCGCAGGTCGGGGGGTGCACCCGCAGGTCGGGCACCAGTCTCTGCGTTCGCGTGCTCTGGGCCTGCTGGTTCTGTGTTCCGGCCTTCCGGCCCCAGGAGGCCACCGCCGTCTGTCTGCCCTGGGCGGCCATCTTCACCCGCAGGTCGGGTTCCAGCTGCTTGTGGCGCTGCTCCAGTGGGGGGTGCGAACGTGCCGCCCTGTCGCCGTCCATCCGGCAGCGTCTTGGCTCGAGGTATCAAGGATTGCTCGCTCTGTGCTCCGTTTCTGTCTGGGCAGGCCGGCTCGCCGCGTGCACTTGCGGTGTCCTTCGCCGCGGGTGAGGTTCAGGCTTTCGTGCACGGTCTGCCACAAGGGTCTCTTTGTGGCGCGGGTGCTGACGCGGCCGTTCAGTGGTGCGAGTTCGTGCTTGCGGTGGACGAGTCGCCCAAGGCCCACCACGACCTCTTTTGGTACCTGTCGGTGGGCAGGCTCGTCGCGGAGAAGATGAGCTCCATCTCGCCGAAGGATCTGGGCGAGGCTTGCATTCGCGACTTGCTTGCGGCGACCGTCAAGCCAGGGGAAAAGCCCTACACCGGGGAGTCCGAGCCAGCCGTCTTCAAGGCGTGGGCCGTGGAGCCCTCGCAGCTTGCCTTCGCCTACCGGCTCCAGCGCAAGTGCGCAGCCACAGTGCCTCAGGAGGCGACGCCGGAGAGCAAGCTGGCGACTACGATGACCGCGTATCTCGAGGCGCAGGCCGCCAGCGAGAAGGTGAAGCTCTCGGCGAAGGCGCTCTCCTTCAAGCTCTCAGACAGGGTCAAGGTGCTGGGAATGGACCAATTCCCCCAGGACGTCCTCCCGTCCGAGGAGAGCCTCGCGGTCTTCGAGGCAGCCGGCCGCGTGGCCAGAGAGAAGGGGCGGCTGTACGTCGGCAGTGCCGAGGGCGAGGATCTCCAGAGGAATTTTCGGCCGGCCTGGTCGAGGATTCCGCGTATCGACGTGCCTGTCGGTGACGGGTCTGTGGCTGAGCGTCAGCGCCAGATGGCCGAATTGAGGCGTGTCCGGGCTGCGTCGGAGCTCGACTACCCCGGGTACGCCACCTTCCACGCTCACATCATGGATTGGGGCGTCAAGCTCATTCTGATGAAGGCTGCCACGCCGCTTGAGGTGCTCACCTACTCGATCTTGCTGACTAAGGTCGCCGAAGAGGAAGGGGGCGTGCGCACGGCGTACCAGTACGACATCCTGGTGCGCACGGCCATGGCCAAGGCTTTGGAGCGCGGTGACCCAGACTGGAGGCTCTACTTCACGAAGGTCGACGCAGACCTCGCGAAGCAGGCGAAGCGGAAGGTCGAGGACAGAGCGGCTGAGGCTGCGCGGACGCTCGCTGGCAAGAGCGCTGGCAAGGGCGGCAAGTACGGCAAGAGCGATGGCGCGAGCAGCGCTGCTGCGGCGTCGGCGCCGCGGTCTCTCTCGCCTCTCGCGCCGCCGCGCTCCCGCAGCCCCTGGCGCAACCAGGGCGGCCGGCAGCAGAGCGGCAGCGGCTGGGCCCAGGGCGGCTGGCACCAGGGCAACAACCAGGGCAACTGGAAGCAGGGTGGCTGGCAGCAGGGGCAGCGCAAGAAGTGATCGGCATCCGATCGCAGTGAGAGCCCAGGAGGCTCCAGTGTGGATTCTGCCCGCTTTGATGGCGGATCCACAGCTTTTGAAGAGCACTTCTGCGCCGATCGCGATTTCGGCGGTCCAGCGGAGTGCGAGTTTCACCCTGAATATCCCGCGGCTCCTGGCATGGCCAGAGTCAGGGATTGTGTAAATACGTTCCTGCAGGATCCTGCGGTCTCCGGTCTTGGTCCGCTCGATCATTTAGAGTGGGCTCTTGGTTTGCCCTCGTGTTGCGATCGTCCCTCGGTGCCAGAGGCGGTCGCTGCTCCTCTCGCTCGTGTGCTCTCTCTTGGTGGCCAGGCTTTGGCTTCTGCTAGGGCAGCTAGTCTCGCGCATTGGCGTGAGCGCAAGCGCGTGCTGGACCCGCTCTGGGCGCGCAGGTTCGGCTCTCTGCCGACGCACGTTCAGAGCGTTCTTGGTCCGAAGAAGAATCTGCTTGTGCTCAGCGAGATGCTCGAGGCCATCGCGTGGCCCGATACTCGGTTGGTAGCTGATTTGCGCAATGGGTTTCCCCTTCTGGGTGAGATTCCGCGCAGTGGCGTGCTGCCGCAGATTCCGTACGCAAAGTGCTCGGAATCTGCATCGGGCTTGCGGGCGCAAGCCAGCGCTCTGAATGAGGACACGCTCCGCCGCGTGCGGCGACCGGCCGGTCTGGAGGATGCGGTCCGAGCGGTCTTCGAAGCTAAGTGTAAAAAGGAGGTCAGCGATGGCCATGCGAGGTGGCGCTCCTTGCCTGGCAGTTGCGTTCTCACTGCGCGCTTTCCGGCCGACGAGGGTTGGAAGGATAATTCGCGCCGGGTGCGCTGTATAGACGACTTTTCGGCATCGCGTATAAATGCCGCAGTATCTGTTGGGGAAACAATCCAACAGGATACGCTCGACTGTTTCGTAGCCGTGCTCTGTGAAGTCATCCAGCGAGGTGCCGGCGGAGCCGCGCTGCGGAAAGAAGATTTCGTGGCAGCTTTTAAAACTCTGCCCCTGGCTAGCTCCCACCTCCACTTCGCTGTGGTAACGTGGGCGTCGGCCGACGCCCAGGGGCAGGGTCTGCAGCTTCTTGCCTGCCCTTTCGGAGCAATAGCTTCGGTCTACAATTGGGAACGCTTCGGCTCAGCAATCAGATCAGTTCTGGCGCAGCTGTTTTTCGTAGTGTTTCTGAGATTCGTAGACGACCTCTTTGGCGCCGACGCAGTCTGTTCGGACGCGCCAGCTCTCGCCACACCAGCTGGCGCCAGCGAGGTTGCGCGCGAGGTGGTCGAGGACCTACTCGGCTGGGAACTCGATGCCACGAAGCGGGTATCGGATTCCAAGAGTGCCCCAGTTTTGGGCGTAGAGGTGGAAATCGATTCCCCCGGCCAGGCGCTGCATTTGGAGATTGGCGCCGCCAAGCTGGCGAAGTGGGATTCGCAGATCCGCGCCATCTTGAGGCGCAATGCCTTGCACCCTGCCGAGGCGAAGAAGCTCGCCGGGAGATTGAATTGGGGTGCTTCTTCTGTCTTTGGCCGCGCGGCCCGGGTGCATTTGGCACCACTTTTCGCACAAGCATCGGGGGGGTCCTCGAAGCTGTCAGGGCGCGTGAAGCGTTCGCTCCTTTGGTGGCTGCGCTTTCTCAGTTGTGTGCCGCGCCGCGCGGTTCTGTGCACGCAGCCATCACGCCTCAGGTGCATTGTTTACTCAGATGCCACAGGGAGCGGCAGTCTGGCATGGGTCGTCTGCCTACCCAGTCGGCGTCTGTGGTCTGCTTCTGTGGTGCCCGCGGCCGTTTGGCGTTGGGCACGCTATCGGAAGAATCAAGTGGCGACCTGGGAATTAATGGCTGCGATCTGTGCTCTCCACTGGCTGCTCAGCCAAAGGCTGGGCGATCTGGAAGTTTTATTGTTCGTTGACAACACGACTGCGCTCGGCACTCTCGTGCGCGGCTCTTCCAGACAAGTCGATTGGAACGATCTCATTGGAGATCTTTGGCTGCGCGTTGCCCAGGCCGGAGTGCTCCTGTGCAGCTTTTACGTTCCGAGCCATCTTAATTTGGCTGATGCGCCTACGAGGCCACAGCAAAAATATGCAGCGCTGGAGGCGATGCAAACAGCAGGTTTCGCAGAAGTGCCATGGAGTGTCCCGCCGGATGCCCCCTGGCAGTCTTAATTTTTCGGCCCGGCGGTTGCGTGGTGGAAAAAAAAAAAAATGCGTCCACGTCACCGTCCTCTGGTGTCGCCTTAGTCTGGTCTGCTGCGCCAGGAGAAGCCCCAAGAGGCTGGGGCCGGAGTCTACGCGGTATTTTTGGCTTTCGGATCGAAGCTGTGGAAACCATGCTGCCTCCCAGTCTGCAGCGCTGGCAAGGAACAGCAGAGCGTGATCTTCAGGCGTTTCCTTTCTAGGAAGGCGGCATATCGATCGATGGGTTTACGTACGTACATCGTGCACATTCAGCAGCACTGCGGCGCAAGATCGCGGCTCTGTCTCCGTGGCCTGTTTGGCGCAAGCTTGAAAGTTCCGCTCAATGCTTAATTTCGTTGATGAGAGCCGGGCCAGGGCCGCTGCTGCTGCTGCTGCTGCATCAGGCTCGTCGCAAGCCGCCCATCCTGCAGTGGCCGAGGTGCCAGCTGCGTTTTCAGGTAATTTGGTTCGTATTCTCAGGCAAGTGTCCGCAGTCGTTCCGCCCGGTGCGCCCATTGATACATTGTGTTCTGGTTTGGCGGCTGCCGGAGCGTCGCGGGCAGAGGATTTTTGCGATATTGGTCCTGAGGAGGCGCAACTCGTTTGGCGGCCTCTGTCTGGGTGTTCGCGCGACTTCCTCAGTAGATTTCTGCAGTTATGCGAGGTGGAGCGGCGGCAAAATCAGCTCCGGGCGGCCTCTGTAGCGCTGCCTGCTGCGCGTCCTGCAGAGCAGACTGAAAGCGGCAGCACCCCAGCACATGGCCTTGTCCGCGGGCGTGGTGCTCAGGACGGTGCTGCCGAGAGAGGTATGGCAGCTCTGGCGCTGTTGGCGCACGCGCGGCGCAGTGGGCAGGTGCTTGGGCCTACGGTGCTCGCAGGCGCTGTCAGAGACATGGCGAAGTTGCCGGATTCCCCATTCGAGGAAGACAGAGTGTTGCCCCGGGCTGCTGCAAAGCGAGCGCGGTATTCGGGAGCAGACTCCATGGAGTTCGAGATCCGCGCCGTCTGGCTCGAATTCTGTGGGTGGCGCCGCAGTGCCGCGCAGTATGCCAGCGCAGTAGAGCTCTGGGGTGAGGCGGCCGCCATCAGTACAGAGGCGCCGTGGCCACCTGGGCATTCCACGGTCTGCGTCTTCTCAGGTCTCTTCCGCAGCAGTGCCTCTCTGGGCCGATATGTGTCGCACATTCGTTCGGTGCTCCACCTGCTGCGGGTATCAACCGGCGAGCTCTCGGACACGGCGAGGCTCGTGAGGGGAGCAGAAAAAGCTGGTGCAGCTTTTCAACGGCCGAAGATTTGGGCATCGGGGTCGCAGACACGCGCGCTCATGCAGTGGGCGTCGCGCTCAGGGCGTCGTGATCTGGCCCTGTCTTGGGCAGTGTCGCGCCACTTTTGCTTGAGGTATTCTTCCGAAACTTTGGCTCTGGGTTCAGGCAAGGCGTCCTTTCAATTCAGCAGCCGCGATGGTCATTCTCAGTGCACGGTGACGTTCACTCGGAGGAAGAGCTACCGCGTTCCCGTTGAAGTCGCGAGAAAGTGCGTCTGCTCTGGAGATGCAGAAATCTTATGCGGAGTATGTGCCTTGAAGGAGGCGTGCGCGGAGCACGCGGTCCCATTTGGGCATATTTCGTATTCTGAAGCGCTGGCCTTCTTAAAAGCTGGTGCAGTGGCGCTAGCTTTGCCGCAGGCTCTCCACTGGGGCACTCACGCGTTTCGCAGAGGATTCGCAAACGATGCCCTCCGGGCCGGCGGCGTGTCTGCGCTGTTCTGGTCGGGCGGCTGGAAGGGGCTCGCTGCGTTTGGGTATGCTACGGCGCAGGCCCGAGGCGAAGTGGCCGCCGCGGAGTGGCTGGTGGAGCACTCGGACTCGAGTGGCGGCGAGAGCGGCTAGGCACGCTCGCATGCAGTGGGTGCTGTCTGGAAAAAGAGCGTGCGAGACGCACCTGTGCTCTCACGGTGCCTTTCGGCTCCTTGCCGCCAGCCTCGGCCCTCCTGGATGCAGTGGGCCCTTGGGGTATTCCAGTCGGGACCAGCCTGGCGGCGCCGTGTGTCTCCTCAGCCCAACGCAGGTGCGGGGGGCGCCGGCCTGCTTCTTCTGTGCTGACCGCACGCAGAGATTTTCATCGCCCCCAAATCGCGTAGCGATTTGGGGGGCAGGAAAATCTCCAGGGAGGTTGCTCGTGGCCTCTCCGCCTCTTGGCCTCTCGGCCTCACTGCCTGGCAGTGCCCTTGTGGCACGGCGGATTGGGGGGGTCCCCTCTGTGCTAATAAGCTGGGGCCGCGCGCGGCTGGCGGACCGCGGCGTGGGGATGCCATGTCGTCTCCTCTCCTCGCTTCTCCGGCTGGCTGGTTGGCGGTTGTGCGCGCGCGGGGGCGAAGGTTGTCGCGCTTCGCGGCGCGGCCTCGGGGGGCCGTGCCTTGGTGGTGCGTGGTTGCGCGACGATAATGCGCTTCGCTGCTCGTCGTTGGCGGGCTTCCGTGGTGTCTGGCCCGCAGGACGGGCGTGGTCGAGAAATGCTTTCTCTGGCCCGCAGGACGGGCGTGTCTCTGGCCCGCAGGACGGGCGTGCTCATTTTCGAAAGCCCACCCTCGTGCCACCCTGGGTTTGTTGTGCGGTTAGCGGGCGCGGTGCCCCCTGCCAGGCTGGGCCCTTGGGGTATTCCAGTCGGGACCAGCCTGGCGGCGCCGTGTGTCTCCTCAGCCCAACGCAGGTGCGGGGGGCGCCGGCCTGCTTCTTCTGTGCTGACCGCACGCAGAGATTTTCGCTCAGATCGCCCGTCCGGGCGCGGGAGCGCGAAACCGCACCCGGAATGGCCTGC